TATAATAATTATAGCAGTGCCAGAATATAGATGGACTTTTACTTTAGCTCTGCTTTGTCTTCAATCGTTCTTTTTGGAATATAATGCACATGAAAGTCCATATTGCATTGCACTGTTTTGGAATGGCAGACTGAATCTTTACACTCATCCTATCATTGTACATTTTATAATTGCAAATCTTTTATTGCCCCACTCACAATGTCATCAATATATAATCCTTTTTCTTTCTGCATGGTACAAGAAAAGCTACATCATTTATATCTATGTCTACATCTCACCAAATTTTGTATAATAGCTTATAAGACCACAGAGGACAAATATGTTGCTGTCTCTTGATACAAAGCAGCTTTTCTAATTTCTTTTGTATACTATGTTTGTGAATTTAGGCTGGGAGTTTATTATATATGTGAATATCTATCACATATGTGTGTGTACAATCTACAGTCGTGTAATCTAATCATAATAAACTAAATTTTCTATTGCTTATATCTGTTTATAAAAGTACATCAGATACTCATATAAAATCTTGGAAAGCAAGCATGCAAAGGAAAACTTAAGAAAGAAAAACCAATAGATTGTGACAACTGTCATCATATTTATAATTGTTCTTTAATTTTCAAAGTACATAAGGAGTAAAATGACAACAAACCAAAAGTTTACTTACCGTATGATAAGTAGTTCTACCCAAACTCTTACAAAGGCAGGAAGTGGGCCAAAAGCTTCCAGGATATATGTGTAATGCCCACCAGATTTCTTAATACTTGTGCCTAATTCTGCATAGCAGAGAGCACCTATAAAAATAGAGTTAATTTTAAACTACTGTTTTGGCACGATTTATCAAAAAAAATTCATAATCAGAGGACAGATGTTCATTTGTTATCAATAAGCAGATTTGTATTTCACTGGTATCCGAAATACTCATGTTATCAAATGACAATTATTTACATTTCTTTTTCCTCCAGAAAACTATCAATCATTAACACAGTTCATTAACACAGTCAGTTCAGGTGAGCATATGGGTAATTTTTTTTTTAAATTAAACTAATTTTCTGCCAATGAGAAAAACCATAGTGATATAAATAAAAATCTGGAAAATAAGGATTAAAATAGGATCTTATCATGGATCATATTGGGAGTCAATTTAGAATTACGATTGTAGCAGATTATACCATAGTGATAAAAATGCAAGTCGGAATGAAGTTGAGCCACTGTTTTTATTTTCTAAAATATAAGGAAAGACATGAGATATACCACACGGGGTTTCAATTGAACTTCCTCTCCAAGAATTTCAGAATTGGGAAGCCTTAAGATAGAATCCTCTTATCTTTCAAAGAACCCAGAATAGCTTGCTGTAGGCACCCTGATTTTTAAATTTATTGTGGTTGTTTCACAATCACCCAAATATTTAGACTGGATTTCACATCATTGACCACTTATCAATATAAATGTTTAACTACAATTCTACTGGAAAACTCACAATATTGTATGGTGGTAACAAAAGGTATGCATTAGCTCTGACCGTTGATCCTCAGTGTAAAAACGCCATCGTTACCCAAGACAAAAAGTTACATTGTTCATACAACCAATTATGTATGTTGTAAACTATTAAACTCTGCACATTTCAAACTCTACTTAAAAATTCTTAATAATTTAATTGTCCATTTCTTTGCAACAAAGGGTACAAAATATTTCCAAGAAGGAACAGTGTAAAAACATTTTTTGACAAATGTTTATCATTTTACATTGTAATGGGCATCAATAACCAACAACCATTCTAAAATCATTGCAGAATTTTGATGGTTATTCAGGTGGACATATTTTAGTGTTGTAGCCTTCTCCCTCTTGTATTTTTCTATTCAAACATCATTCTATCATAGCTCACTTTGGGACAGTAACTTATCTCAGAAGTTTTGTTGTAGAAAAAAAGGGGAGGATCTTGCATGTGCACCATCTAGAGTTCATCCACAAAGGTAATAAAGAAGGGAAGGGAAGGGAAGGGAAGGGAAGGGAAGGGAAGGGAAGGGA